CTTGTTAGATCCACCGGTATAGACATCATCGACAAACTTGATCAGTGTGATCTCCTTGGGGACCGGTGGACAACCCTGTAGATAGGAGAAGGCCTCAGCGCTAGATCTCAGTAGACAACGCTCAACCAAATGAGGCTCAATACCACATAGACGAGTAACCGGAGCTTCAACTGTAGAAGCCAGCTTGGACAATGCCTTGATCTCATTGATCACATCTTCCATAGAAGCGTCAAGTTGATTAGGCGCTGCTGTAGAGCCAAAGGCTACACGGGACCATAGAACAATGTATGGTCCGATACAAGTGTAGCCAACATATGGAACATCCTTGATGCTAGAGGACATTCTACAGAATGCCTTAGATAGATCTCCAGCTATGAAATACTCATAGGATCGAATAGCAAGGAGGCAACCGGCTAGAGAGTTCTGAGGATAGCCACCGCGATTAGAGAAGCGGTTTAGGTCTCTAAAGTCGAACACCACCCTACACGGTGTAGTAGGATGTAGATGGCGATACACTAGATGTGAAGGAGTGTAATGTTCCGCCAGAGGAACAGGAGAACCCTCATTGGCAGTACCCTTGACCAACGTAGACCAAGCTGCTTGACACATAGCTCTAGTTGGCTTCTTCAAACCAGTTGACCGTAGATCACAGACAATCGAACAGAAACCCCTATCGACAAGTTGTGAAAGGGCATCCTCAAACATAGATTGCTGTTTAGAATCTAGACGAGCTATAGAGGCTAGACCACGTTTAGCCGCGTAGTGGAAGTTGAAACCGGGACGGCCTTGACTTCGCCATGGTACTTCAGTAGATATACGACCTAGTGGAGCAATCTTGTCACTGATCCATTCCCTAGATATAACTTCCCACGGTGGAAGTAGATCATGGTCTGGGGCTAGAGAGGAGTCAGTGATAGCACCAAAACACATAGTAGAGCCATAACCAATAGATAACGGAAGATCGGGATAGATCTCAACGTCATCATTGAAGGTATCGTAGAGAACATAGTTATCATCTTTACCGTCGTAGCGGAACTCGAGAGTACTAGGCTTAATAAAGATGGAAGGTTTGACTCTAGATACCGATATAGATGATAGAGAGACAACATG